GTAGCATGAGGTAGCATGATGTAGCATGAGGTAGCATGAGGTAGCATGATGTAGCATGAGGTAGCATGAGGTAGCATGAGGTAGCATGATGTAGCATGAGGTAGCATGAGGTAGCATGATGTAGCATGAGGGAGGTAGCATGAGGTAGCATGAAGTAGCATGATGTAGCATGAGGTAGCATGAGGTAGCATGAGGTAGCATGATGTAGCATGAGGGAGGTAGCATGAAGTAGCATGAGGTAGCATGATGTAGCATGAGGTAGCATGATGTAGCATGAGGTAGCATGAGGTAGCATGATGTAGCATGAGGGAGGTAGCATGAGGTAGCATGATGTAGCATGATGTAGCATGAGGTAGCATGATGTAGCATGAGGTAGCATGATGTAGCATGAGGTAGCATGAGGTAGCTTGAGGTAGCATGAGGTAGCATGATGTAGCATGAGGTAGCATGAGGTAGCATGATGTAGCATGAGGGAGGTAGCATGAGGTAGCATGATGTAGCAGGAGGTAGCAGGAGGTAGCATGATGTAGCATGAGGTAGCATGAGGTAGCATGATGTAGCATGATGTAGCATGAGGGAAGTAGCATGAGGTAGCATGAAGTAGAATGAGGTAGCACGAGGTAGAATGAGGTAGAATGAGGTAGAATGAGGTAGCATGAAGTAGCATGAGGTAGCATGAGGTAGCATGAGGTAGCTTGAGGTAGCACGAGGTAGCATGAGGTAGCATGAGGTAGCATGAGGTAGCATGATGTAGCATGAGGTAGCATGAGGTAGCATGAGGTAGCATGAGGTAGCATGATGTAGCATGAGGTAGCATGAGGTAGCATGAGGTAGCTTGAGGTAGCATGAGGTAGCGTAAGGTAGCATGAGGTAGCATGAGGTAGCATGAGGTAGCATGAAGTAGCATGAGGTAGCATGAGGTAGCATGAGGAAGCATAAGGTAGCATGAGGTAGCATGAGGTAGCAGGAGGTAGTATGATGTAGCATGAGGGAGGTAGCATGAGGTAGCATGAGGTAGCATGATGTAGCATGAGGTAGCATGATGTAGCATGAGGGAGGTAGCATGAGGTAGCATGAAGTAGCATGAGGTAGCATGAGGTAGCATGAGGTAGCATGAGGTAGCTTGAGGTAGCATGAGGTAGCATGATGTAGCATGAGGTAGCATGAGGTAGCATGATGTAGCATGAGGTAGCATGAGGTAGCATGAGGTAGCATGATGTAGCATGAGCTAGCATGAGGTAGCATGATGTAGCATGAGGGAGGTAGCATGAGGTAGCATGAAGTAGCATGATGTAGCATGAGGTAGCATGAGGTAGCATGAGGTAGCATGATGTAGCATGAGGGAGGTAGCATGAAGTAGCATGAGGTAGCATGATGTAGCATGAGGTAGCATGATGTAGCATGAGGTAGCATGATGTAGCATGAGGGAGGTAGCATGAGGTAGCATGAGGTAACATGATGTAGCATGAGGTAGCATGATGTAGCATGAGGGAGGTAGCATGAGGTAGCATGAAGTAGCATGAGGTAGCATGAGGTAGTATGAGGTAGCATGAGGTAGCATGAGGGAGGTAGCATGAGGTAGCATGAGGGAGGTAGCATGAGGTAGCATGAGGTAGCATGATGTAGCATGAGGTAGCATGATGTAGCATGAGGGAGGTAGCATGAGGTAGCATGAGGTAGCATGAGGTAGCATGAGGTAGCATGATGTAGCATGAGGGAGGTAACATGAGGTAGCATGATGTAGCATGAGGTAGCATGATGTAGCATGAGGTAGCATGAGGTAGCATGATGTAGCATGAGGGAGGTAGCATGAGGTAGCATGATGTAGCATGAGGTAGCATGATGTAGCATGAGGTAGCATGATGTAGCATGAGGTAGCATGAGGTAGCATGATGTAGCATGAGGGAGGTAGCATGAGGTAGCATGAAGTAGCATGATGTAGCATGAGGTAGCATGAGGTAGCATGAGGTAGCATGATGTAGCATGAGGGAGGTAGCATGAAGTAGCATGAGGTAGCATGATGTAGCATGAGGTAGCATGATGTAGCATGAGGTAGCATGATGTAGCATGAGGGAGGTAGCATGAGGTAGCATGAGGTAGCATGATGTAGCATGAGGTAGCATGATGTAGCATGAGGGAGGTAGCATGAGGTAGCATGAAGTAGCATGAGGTAGCATGAGGTAGCATGAGGTAGCATGAGATAGCTTGAGGTAGCATGAGGTAGCATGATGTAGCATGAGGTAGCATGATGTAGCATGATGTAGCATGAGGTAGCATGATGTAGCATGAGGGAGGTAGCATGAGGTAGCATGAGGTAGCATGAGGTAGCATGAGGTAGCATGATGTAGCATGAGGGAGGTAGCATGAGGTAGCATGAGGTAGCATGATGTAGCATGAGGTAGCATGATGTAGCATGAGGGAGGTAGCATGAGGTAGCATGAGGTAGCATGAGGTAGCATGATGTAGCATGAGGGAGGTAGCATGAGGTAGCATGATGTAGCATGAGGTAGCATGATGTAGCATGAGGTAGCATGATGTAGCATGAGGTAGCATGAGGTAGCATGATGTAGCATGAGGGAGGTAGCATGAGGTAGCATGATGTAGCATGAGGTAGCATGAGGTAGCATGATGTAGCATGAGGGAGGTAGCATGAGGTAGCATGATGTAGCATGATGTAGCATGAGGTAGCATGATGTAGCATGAGGGAGGTAGCATGAGGTAGCATGAGGTAGCATGAGGTAGCATGAGGTAGCATGAGGTAGCATGATGTAGCATGAGGTAGCATGAGGTAGCAGGAGGTAGCAGGAGGTAGCATGAGGTAGCATGAGGTAGCATGAGGTAGCATGAGGTAGCATGATGTAGCATGAGGGAGGTAGCATGAGGTAGCATGATGTAGCATGAGGTAGCATGAGGTAGCATGATGTAGCATGAGGGAGGTAGCATGAGGTAGCATGAGGTAGCATGAGGTAGCATGAGGTAGCATGAGGTAGCATGATGTAGCATGAGGTAGCATGAGGTAGCATGAGGTAGCTTGAGGTAGAATGAGGTAGCACGAGGTAGCACGAGGTAGCACGAGGTAGAATGAGGTAGAATGAGGTAGCATGAGGTAGAATGAGGTAGCATGAGGTAGAATGAGGTAGAATGAGGTAGAGTGAGGTAGCATAACGTAACATGAGGTAGCATGAGGTAACATGAGGTAGCATGAGGTAGCATGAGGTAGCATGAGGTAGCATGAGGAAGGGCAAGCATTTTATGAAAACATGTGATACTGAGGGTAAATGGCAGAAAATTGGCTCGCGTCGTTCTTTGCAACTTCAGTATGCGAATGGCTGTTTGTGCCTTCTGTTATTGTTTTTTTTTAAACAGCTTACATTAAATTAAAAAGTAATTGTTACTGCTGTCTCTTCGTCAAGATCAATTGGAACTGTCCCTGCCGTGAAATATTTTCTACTTTTTTGCAAGCTATTAGTGAGCAAGTTTGGAGAAGAAAAAAACCTGTTAATTAAAATATTTTTAACGCCGAGAGATTAATTAATCAAAGCAATTTGAACTTAAAATATTCAATCGACTAAAGATGGTCGAATAAAGATTGTTAATCCAACAGTTCGATTTCCGAAAGGAAGAAATATGTATTCGTTGTTTTCACACGTTTTTCTAAACTTTTTATTTTTCAGGTAACCCTCGCCGACCCGAACACTGTCAGCTTACTTCAAGTCGTTATCCTCTGTAACTATCGCTAACTTAACACTGACAGAATTTTCTTTTTCAGGTATATCTACCGGGGTGGGGTAGGGGGGGGGGGCACTCACCCCAGAGCACGATGAAACAGAGAGAAAAAATAATTGATACACAAAATATATACTCTAACCAGTGTCTTCGATCACCGGAAATGTGCAGTGCCTTCACTCTCTTCATACACCCGGAGAAAAAAATGTCTGAAAGAAACCCTAGCCCTAACCAATTTCCCAAATAGAACTCCTCTCAGCATTTAACAGACCAACATCACATAGTAAGACTACATCAAAGATCAATTGCAATTGACATTCGGGAAAAAAGTCGTAACTTTGACAGTGTATATTTCGATACTTCAATTTAAAATGAGCTTTAAAATTAATTTTTCAACCCCTTTTGGCGCCCCCTTAAGCTCTACACCCGGGGCTGCCGCCCCACCCACCTCCCCTTGCTACGCCATGGTGGTCAGTCGTCTATCAGTAAAACTAAAACGTTGAGGTTGGATGTCAAGACATCGTGGGGGGAAATAAGAATTTTGTTAAGGCGCTTTGAAACTGATACACTACAAAATTATATACGCACATATACGTATATATAGCCATATATAATTATATATTATACATATATATGTATCTATATATATATATATATATATATATATATATATATATATATATATATATATATATATATATATATATATATATATATATATATATACTATTGTGTGTAGATGTAGATGTAGGCCTATCTATGTATGTGTGTGAGAGTGCCTATAATGAGGTGATCATGCAGACAGATTATACCTGATTATTGATCAATATTTCTTACGATTGAATGCCGTGTGAAACGTATCAAAGCCATGTTCAATCTGTACACGATTCACTGACATGAGGTGAAAACTTGGCGACCCGACAAAAAAAAAGTTTGGGGCACGTCTGATTGGCTGGCGTCGACACGAATAGGGGCGACATCTAACACGGCGACGTCGTCCGGCGCATGTCCCTTTTGTCGGGGACACGCGCTTTAGCCACACCCACTGCCATATAAGGCGTTTAAAGGCGGGGAGAACTAATATTTCGGGGTACCGAAGGCGTTGGTATTTTAGTTAAATTTCAAAGTAAAGTTTAGTGAACAATGCCCAGGGGCGGGAGGAGGGGGTGCTAAAAGTCCCCGAGGGACAGATAAGCCCTCCAACGTCTGAAGCGCTAGAAGGGCCCGACTAGTTATGCTGACGATGAATCACTTTTCAAACCGCCGACGTCGAGATCGTTTCAATGTTTTCCTGAGCTAGCTTTTGGCTGCAAGGGAGTTTTTGTTTTTTAGGATACAAAACTTCAAGTACTGAAACTTGCACGAAACTACTCTGGGATTCACAATTGCAACTTCTGACTCCCGCAAGAAATTGCGTGTGCACGCGAGGCAGGTTGAGGGAAACTTTATCCAAATCGCTGAGCTGCTGATTCTCTACTGCCAGAACTGTTGGATAACAATTAGGTGAGCGCTAAGTTTATTTTTAAATAACAGAAGTTTGAGAAGCAAACCTTGAGCTAAGGTGATCTAGACCTAGTTAATGCACCTTAATAAATACATCTTTGATTTCCATTTTCCATTCCCCTGCATGGATAAATAGATGGAGCATCTTACTGATACCACTACCCAAACCCTAACCACTTTCTCAACCCTTGTCCGAATCCCAAACTTAATCTGGGACTTATCATTAACCTAAGAGCAATACCAGCAGAAACCAAAACTTATGTGACATTGTATTCTCCTATCGGCGAACGTACAAGAAGCTAGTATCGATATGTCCTTGTTGTGAACTCCAGCGTGACAGTCAACGATAGCGTGATTGCAGCGATCACGTTACGTGACGTTTTATTGTTGTACCATATGTACATCTCAGCCTTTACCTTTACATTCTGGGTAAACAATAAACATACATCCTCTACTATACGTTTAGCCGTACCATCTCCACACGGACCTTACCTAACCATCATTTAGCATAAAACATAAACATATGTATCGCTATATGCGTGTCAATATATTATTTAAATCTTACGGCAAAAGAAAAAGTACCAAAATGCCCCATGAGTCTTTACCTTTCTCTTTTAGTTGCTTGCAAATGAAGTCTTTCAGTTTGAGGGGGGGGGAGGGTTGATGCTAGATATATCTATAAATATGTCTGTGGGTGGGGGAGGCTAAGCTTCTACGTTCCTCCTCCATCTCGTGATCAGACCATGTCTATACAAATGAACATAAAGAAAACTGATAACAGATCAGCGTATAATTTTATACAAAACTTATGTGTTTCAAATGCCCCCCCCCCTCCCGCAGAAAATTGTCTGAAAGTAAGACTGTTGCCTAGCAAAACAGTTTGAGCATATTTGTAATTTGAATAAATTAGAGTGCCACCTCTGATATAATTTAGCCACCTCTGACATGATGTAGCCATATCTGACATCACCTAATTCCTAGAAAAACTGACCTTAAGCTAGTCTTGTTATAAAGTAACTATCTTTCAACCCAGTGACTTAAAAAATTTCCAGACATTGTCTTCTCTCGTGCAAATGTCACGACAATATTTGAGTATAGCTTAGGATTAGTTGTTCGGTTACACGCCTGTATAGCAAAGCTTTGGGTTAACTTCCAAAACGATTCCTCGGAAAGCTGGATGTTTGTGAGTAAATTACTTCTTACCCTCTTCGACCTTTGACATCTTCTTCTTCGCCTTTTTCAACCCCCAGTGGAGCACATGCCACTTTTCCAAGATTTTTTTGATCTATGGTATGTTTTCAAATTTTTTCCGACTTTTTCCAGTAATTTTCATGTCTTTTTTTTTATTCCTCTAAGTTAGATGTTTTTTGGGTCTACCTCCTTTTCTTGACCCTTCCGGAAAAAATGATGTCTAATGTCTTGCTGGTGATTCTAGTTCTTGGTATTTATCTCTAACTTCTTTTCCCAATGTCTTGCTAAACTGGGATTTATACTATGCATACTACTACTGTACCAGGTACTTTGTCAGAGAATCTTGGCAATAGCTGTAAGACAGTGGCGTAGCGAGGTCGGGTGTCACCCGGTGCGGCACTTAATGGTGTCACCCCCAGAGGCGTAGCGACCCTTCCCGGAGACATATTTTCAATTTGCACCTCCTTCAAACTTTCGTTTTGCACCCTCCTCCCCCCCCCCCCCCCTCAAACTTTCGATTTGCACCCCCCCTAAAATTTTTCTCTATATATTTTGCTATTTTTTTGCCTTGGTGTCACCCCCCTAAATGGTGTCACCCGGTGCGGTCCGCCCCCCCCCCCCCTCCCCCCCTCGCTTCGCCTCTGCCTATAGGTACTGAAGTAACGGACGTTTATAGAGTTATTCTACACCAACTCCCACCAAGTTACAAGATTAAAAAAAAAATTATACAAACTTTCCAAAAAATGCTTCCAGATTCGATTTTGATTATTGGAGGCTTGCCAATTACCACTAACACCTTGACTCCACAGCCCAATCAATTACTAGCATTAAACAATAACAAGCAATTGGAATAAAAACCTTCAAGATTATGTATTTTTCTAGCACCTCTAGTTACAGGCATATTGGAAATCGTTTGGGCTTAACCGTGACTACTTCAGTCTGATATTAAAAGCTTGAATCGGTTGATGCTTAAACTAAGAAACCTCCGCCACTCAGTTCAATAGTTCGTGTTATTTTTTTGTTTTTTGTTGTTTTTTTTTCTGCTTCAGTGGGTTTTACAAGCGTAGGGATTGTGTGATTAGTAACTCAAGCGAAAGGATTGTATTGTGTGGTTAGCACCTTGACCGAAGGGAATATTGGTCAGTACCTTGACCGAAGGGATTGTGTGGACAGCACCTTGACCAAATGGATTGTGTAGCTAGTAAGTCGACAAAAAAGATTGTGTGGCCAGCACCCTGACCTAATTGATTGTGTGGCCAGCACCCTGACCTAATAGATTGTGTGGCCAGCACCCTGACCTAATGGATTGTTTGGCCAGCACCCTGACCTAATGGATTGTTTGGCCAGCACCCTGACCTAATGGATTGTTTGGCCAGCACCCTGACCTAATGGATTGTTTGGCCAGCACCCTGACCTAATGGATTGTTTGGCCAGCACCCTGACCTAACAGATTGTGTGGCCAGCACCCTGACCTAATGGATTGTTTGGCCAGCACCCTGACCTAATGGATTGTTTGGCCAGCACCCTGGCCTAATAGATTGTGTGATCAGCACCCTCACAGAAGGGACAGGATGGGCATACCAGGACAACACCTTGGCGCCGGTACAGCTCCTTGTGTCAAGGACCAGGCCTAACCATAATGTTTGACCTCAATTCTGCAGGTTAGAAACGAAGGCTGGTATATCACAAAGGATTCTAGTCCTTCGTGTCGGTGATCGTACGCTCTACCTCCCAACCACGCGGTCCCAATAGGGTCCTACTCATATATTAACATCACCTTTGTCTTCCCACCCCATGCATCGTTCACCGGGGCGCTGTTCTCGAACATTTGTAGAAATGAGACCATTTGTGTAAGACCGCGTCAAGAAGGCAGAAATGAGACCATTTGTGTGAGACCATTTGTGTGAGACCCGCGTCAAGAAGGCAACCAGAGAATCAGGCATTTGAAAACGTCTGCCCAAGAGCAGCTCAGCTCCGAGGGAGCTCAACACGGAGAGCTGTTCAGCTCTGAATCACTTTGGCTCCTATTGGTTCTTCATCATCTTCAGCGGGCTCTTCTCAAGATCTCGAAGCGCGGTGTAAATAAATCATTATCATTATTATCTCAACGGTTCTTTTATTAGCATCGGACATGACAGGGCTAAGGGGGAAGCCGTTGAAGGTGGGCGGGTTGAATTCGATAGAGGTGATTTCAATGCAGATGTATGTGTTAAGAACACGAAGTTACGCGAGCTATTTATCGCACGGGGTTGCGTTGAGAAAAATGGCACATTTTTTTTTCGTTTGTCCTCTTTAAAAAATCTGGCAACTGTAGTGACGTACAAGGGTATTGAAATAATAACGCGGGGCACTTGACGTCCGTAAGAAGGGCACTCTAAGCCATCTGCTTCACAAGCACGATTTATTTTTTTCCCATCTTTTATTTTTTTTTTATTTGACGGAGTCTACTTGAAATACTGGAGTTAGCGCAACTACTAAAGACGACGGCCATGTTTTTCATCCTCAACATCATTAATTGTCGGAATTTTTAAAACCAAATTCACGTTTTCAAATTTATATCAATTTAGATTTTTTTTCGGGAACAAAGGTCTTTAAAGTCAAACAAGATGTAAGTGGCAAGGCGAGGGGTTGTTGAGGGGTCGTAACATATTTATTCGGTGGACTCGGGTTGTTACAGAATGGAGGCTCTGTTTAATTGTACGCTCCTTACGCTGCGAGTGATGTTCTTAGAAGATTTCGTAGGTTCCAGCTTTTCATAGGATGCTTCAATATTTGGTGTGGAGTTTAACAAGCCCCCCCCCCCCACCACCACCACATAGGATGCTTCAATATTTGGTGTGGAGTTTAACAAGCCCCCCCCCCCCACCACCACCACCACTCTGTCCCCTGCTTCTCGTCAAAACCAAACGTAAACAATAGTAGAAGTGTCTTTAGAAAATCGTTCGAATCTAATCGCTTAATAGGTTCGTGATAAAAAAGTAGTACTTCAATTTTCCTTCAATTTTAGACTTTCTTTTTCTCGAATTAATTTTTAAAATTTAGCTTAAAGAATTTAAAAGCTATGTGTTTTGAACATGTCAATTTATAATTACATAGTTGTAAATTCCAAGTTCTATGTGACATATTATTTATTTATTTCAATTTGTATTTTCAGATCTAAAAAGGGAAGTAACCAAAAGCCACTGCAGACGACAGCATGTCCACCGAGGCTGACACGAGTGTCAGTGAGTCGGGCCTGTACTTCAGGAACTCCTTCCACGCCCAGAACCTCTACAACCTCCACCACAACCCGCACCTGATGAGCGGGTTCCAGTCCGGCCTGGAACACAAGTTCGACTCCCGGGACGGGCGGGAGCACCACGACGATGACAGTGAAGACAACGACAAGCTCATCTCTGTTGACGAGTTCGACGACAGCGACAGCGAGGATGTTCGTAGCTGCAGCACCCTGAGCCCCACCCCTTCAGACAACACCGTCAACAGCAGCTCGTCGTCCCGGCTCTACGGCTCCGGCGGGAGGAGCCACGGCGGAGGGAAGATTAGAAAAAAGTCAGGGTTGGCTTCCAAGGTCATGGACGAACAGGAGCTGCAGAGCTTAAGGCTGAAAATCAACAGCCGAGAGAGGAAAAGGATGCATGATCTAAACTCTGCTTTAGACGGCCTACGCGAGGTTATGCCTTACGCTCATGGTCCGTCTGTGAGAAAGCTGAGCAAGATCGCAACACTTCTGCTAGCTAAGAACTACATTCTCATGCTGAATTCATCGCTGGAGGAAATGAAGAAATTAGTCAGCGATATTTACCACGGGTCCCCCCGACCCCCAGGACTACCGGCAGCGCTGCCGCCCCTGCCTCCGTCTCCTCAGTCTACAGCCAGCACCTCGGTGTCCTCTACTGCACCTGTCTCAGTCAGCTCTGGAAGTCCCATCACGTCCAGCAGTGACACCGTAACCCGCAGCTTACCTGGTCGCTCACAAACCCCCAGCAGTAAAGCCTCCGACTGCCCACCCCCCACACCTCGACCAGTCCACCCAACCATGTCCATAGCCAGCATGACCGGGCACCACCTACCCAGCCCCATGCTCCCGCTGCCAGTCACAGCACTGCGGACGCCCGTACCTGGGCTGACGCCCCACGAGCTAAGCGCCCTGACGTCCGCCTACGGAATCCCAAAACACGACATTCAAGGGATTCAAACCTACCCCACTCACGATCGTGCTCATGCTTTTCAGCGTTGGCCCGTCCCCTGCGCATGCGCACAATGCCTAACTGGCTCTGGCCATCTATCTTTAGGACTACATTTAAGTCGCTTCTCGCATCCACTCCTGTCATCGGCGGCCTCTCTACATCGAAAAAATTGACAATTTTATCACCATTAAACTTTTTTTTTAATCAGCGGGATAATTAGGTGGCTGTTTAAAATTAAGATATCCATACTACAATCTTTTATTTATTTCATGCACCTGTTCATCTTAAGACGATATGAGGTACAAGCTAAGGAGATTATACCGTGACCTGCAAAGAAAAAGAAAACATTGCGTACCTCTAACCAAAGTAAAAAAAAAAACTTGACGAACTCTGAATTAACTATCTTCATTTCAATTCACAACGAAACACTTGGATACAGTTAATGTTGTCCACATAATCTCATCTACATTTTTAAACAAATATTTTTCTTGAACTTTTTTACCTATAAATTTTACAATCGAAAACTTGACACCAATTTTCTGGTATTAATGTTGTTGCTTGAAACGATAGACTCGTTCAACCAACTGTTTTTAAATGTCAACATTTTTCTCTGCCTTCATTGTTAGGAGACAATGTCGAGTGAAACATCTGTGATAAATATGGAAGCCCATCTGTACAGTATTTTGTATTTGATTTTTCTGTTTGGTTAGATACTTAGTAAAAAAAAATGTTAAAAAATCCTAATTCCAAACTAAATGCCAACCTACATATTATTTTGCAATTTTAAAATGGCACCTTTACCATATTACATTTGTTTTACATTATATTTTGTTTTGTCGATTTTAATTTTTACAAAGACTATTGTCGAAGTACTCTGTTCATACACTGAAAAAAAAATCGAAATTCGAAATAGGGATTTTAAAATTATAAGCTTAGAAACTGTTTTCAATGTATCACGGAAACAGCCAGTGTGGCTATTATTGTACAGCTTGAGTACCTTTTGGTAATCTGTTTTAGCAAAAAAAAAACAGATAGATGGACTGAGTTAAATCGTAGCTTTGGAGGCTATTTATAACAGTAGCCTACACAACAAAACAAATCTTTTCAACACCAATACTGACAACGTTTTATAGTGGCCACTGTAGAAGTTCTAATTAAAAACCTGTCCTAATTAAAGCAATTCACTAATTAAGACGATTTTCATAGCAGTACGTTCTCACAGGCTAAACCACTGTAAATATGTTTATATATTTCTTTGGAGCGGTTTCCTAACATTTAAATTACATTAATTGGTCAAAGCTTCATGTTATAGTTTCAAGACATTTTGTTACGCGAGCACTATTTTATTTTTATTTTTTCTAAACACACACATTGACTGTGCGATGCGTGCTAGGTATTAAAGTCACACGGTCGTTATTTTAACATACGTGTACGTTTGATGTAGTTTTTCTTTAATTTAAAACATAAAATTGTGTTCCAAAGATTCTGATTAGCGGGGCCGCCGATAACTAGTTTCACGCACATCGAAAATAAATGTGCTATCCATAAATGATTCCACCCTACCTCCCCCCCCCCCTTTCCAACTCTATCGGTACACGTCGTCACAACAATTCGGACCCATCCCCATAAAATGACGTCACAAACATCCACTCCAACCCCTAAAATAGCCATAATTGTAACGAAAATGTACTCATTTGTTTTGTCTTTAATAATAAACTATATAAAAAACTTTTTTAAAAACCACGTTTTTCATGTGTAGCAACGGACTAAAAAGGAGAAAATAAAATACTTAAAAAAAACTTTTTAAAAAACCACGTTTTTCTTGTGGACTAAAAAGTAGAAAATAACTATTTACATACATTTGATGACAAAAAACGTGGGTACGTTCACCATCAAATTTCCCGACCCATCTGCCCGACCCACGTTTTTTGTAATCAAATGTATGTAAATAGTTATTTTCTACTTTTTAGTCCACAAGAAAAACGTGGTTTTTTAAAAAGTTTTTTTTAAGTATTTTATTTTCTCCTTTTTAGTCCGTTGCTACACATGAAAAACGTGGTTTTTAAAAAAGTTTTTTATATAGTTTATTTTCTACTTTATCTAATGACTTGATTAAGTATGAATTGACTAAGTGTTTATAAATACACGGACTAAAAAAATCTTGAGCGACCAGGATTCGAACCTGGGTTGTCGCGGCCACAACGAGAAGTACTAACCACTATACGATCACGGCCAGCGCGCTCACATCGATTGGGGCCGAAGTAACTGTGTCAATAAGCCTCCAGTCTTGTCGGTATCTTTAGAAATCATGTCCTCAATTTTATGGTCCTTGGGGCGTAATTAAATTAAGCTAATTACGGTCTCTAATTGCTAGTTTTTATGATTGCATCTGAAATTGTTAGGCGAAAGTAACCTGCATGCCAAATTTCAGATCTATAGAGCAATCAGAAGTGGGCTAATTTTCGATGTCAATTTTAACAACAAACACACAAACGCGAAGCTGAGTTAATAAAAACGTGTTAAAAATAAAAACTACGTCCTATTTCTTGACCCCCTTCAGTCCCCTGAGCTAGCACTTGAAGACTAAGTAAACTTATTTTTCTGTAGGGGGGGGGGGCTGCATTTTGTGACGAGGGGTAAAGAACAGGGGACTCACAGCTTATAAAACTGTAGGCTTCTAAATTTAATTACATACCTACCATATGAGCGTTCAACTTAAGCTTAATTCCACTTCTAGCACATTTTGAGGTGTAAACAGTCAGAGTATGCATAAAAAAAAAATTTCACGAACTTTTTTAATGGTACCAATTTATTTTTATTAATATAGCTAGCTTTACAGAATTCTAATAGAAAAATTCTACGGTATTCTGTTTAAATCGTGTGTGGTTTCCGTAATGTTTTGTTTTGTTTATGAACTTATTCCTACACACTTTGTTAAACTCGCCTTTTCCTACTGCTTGGGTTGTGTGTTGTATAGAATGAAATAAACACTTGAAAGAAATGACATCTTTGGTTTTTCCTTTCATTTAATTAAGCACAGTTTCATTAAACAGGTTAAAACTTGTGTAGTCTGTTATAAACTAAATTTTAGTACAAGCTCTGGGTATCATGGCCTGATAACATTTAATTATCTTTTAACTAATTAAGGATTTGGGCTTTCGGATGTATACTCCCCGGGACATAACCCCCTCCAGCCTGTATATAAACCATATAGACAAAAAAAAACTCTCACGTACAAAAAAAAACCTAGACATAAAGCCTTACGTTTCAGATGTATATAGTACTAGTATAAATATTAGTGTAGTGGGCTATATGGTTTATTAAATTTAAATTAAACCTAAATTACTGTGTTTAAAAAAATTACCAAATTAATATTTATTTATTTTTAATTTATGAACTGGCCATCTCTGATCAACTCAGATGTTCTTTCAGGCCAGTTAGTTCTTATGTTTTAACATACTATTTCGGCGGTTGCCAGTTAGTTCTTATGTTTTAACATACTATTTCGGTAGTTGCCAGTTAGTTCTTATGTTTTAACATACTATTTCGGTAGTTGCCAGTTAGTTCTTATGTTTTAACTTACTATTTCGGCGGTTGCCAGTTAGTTCTTATGTTTTAACATACTATTTCGGTAGTTGCCAGTTAGTTCTTATGTTTTAACATACTATTTCGGTGGTTGCCAGTTAGTTCTTATGTTTTAACATACTATTTCGGTAGTTGCCAGTTAGTTCTTATGTTTTAACATACTATTTCGGTAGTTGCCAGTTAGTTCTTATGTTTTAACATACTATTTCGGTAGTTGCCAGTTAGTTCTTATGTTTTAACATACTATTTCGGTAGTTGCCAGTTAGTTCTTATGTTTTAACATACTATTTCGGCAGTCTCAGTTTTGTTTCGTGTTCCCCTGTTGTGATAATGAAGTAGAGGGTGATGGTCAAAAGGTGTATATCCAATCATAGTAACATCTGTATGTGCAAATGTAGACATCGGAGCCAATTGACCCAAAGTGTGAAGATGTGAAGTCGACTTGTTTGAGAAACGCTCATCGTCTGTCTCTTTACTGTTCGTTGGCCACATTTTAAAAATATGTTTTAGTTTAACCCAACAAAACTAATCTGGATTGAGACACAGACAGCTGTCTCTTGGTTTTGTCTGTTCTGTGTTAAACCTAGACTTTCTCTGCCTTTTGTTTAACCTAGACGTTCTCTGCCCTTTGTTAAACCTAGACTTTCTCTGTCCTGTGTTAAACCTGGACCTCTCCCACCCTTACAAAACCTAAACTTTATCTCATCTTAACAAAAACTAAACTTTCTCACACCTGTACTGATCCTAGACTTTCCCTCTCTAACTTTAGCGCTATTTATCTAACTAAAAATCACACTTATTTTTTTTTACAAAATAGATAAAAACAACTCAGGCGATGTAATACTAAAATCCTCTCGTCCATAAAACTTTTCATTTATCCTGCATTGACATCACCGTCTGGAAGATCGCTAAACTACTAACACGACAAGTCTAGGGTTCGAATCCTGGTTAAAATCAGCAAACCCTCCCTGAGTCCACGCAGTTAAGGAAAGTAAGGCGCTGGGATTAGTGCTGGCCTTCGTATGTCGAGGTCACAGAAAGAGGTGAACTCTACTTCACTTGCCCAATGGACCGTCATGTTCGAAAAGGTACCCTGTCTACATGTCTTGTAAAAAAAAAATTGTTTAAACTTAAGCAATGAGAAAATACAAGAAGTTTAACAAGAAATCTGAGAAGCTTAGATAAGTGTTCTGTACTGAAACATTACCACAGGAATTCTACAGGTTTTGTGACGAAGATCTTGTCTACTCCTGGAGTTTTCGGTACTTAGAAAAACTCGAGCAAGTTTTCAAACAAAAATGAAAGGAAAAAAATCCCCCAGTCTTAAAAGATAATCAAAATTTTTCAGCGTAAATCCCAGATTACATCGTCCACCATCCATCATATCTATTAACCAGCTATTACGGGATTTACCAAGCTCATTATTCGCGTGAAGTGAGAAAGATGGATGCTCCACATGCACTATTTTTGTTTTAATGACGTATCACATTTCAGGGGAAAGAATCCGAGAAAAATAGAGACAACCACTTGATACCCGTTTTATAATTTATTTTTTAATCTCTTATTTTTACTTTTGACAATAATCGGGGATGCCTTTTTTCTTAACGGGTTGTGGGAAAAGAGGGGGCAAGGGATATATCAGCTTATGTCGGAAGTGATCCACATATTTCAGTATTAGTTCAACTACAGTTGCTAATATATTTATTAAAAGATGGTGAATTTAAATAGGAAAGTACTTGAACCACTTTCTAGTGCCCCCACCCCACCAGGGAGCAAAATATATGGAAAAAAAAACCTGTGGGGTGGTGTACTAAGCCAAGTATAGCAGTCAAACTTGCAAGCTTTATTTTAAATAAACCGGGAGTGATCTCCCCTAAACTTTCTCGAATATTCTTATATAAAACAACAGGGGATCGGAACTCGGGCTATAGACATGATTTGTAATCCATTTTAAATACTTAAATATTTAAAAATAGAATAAAATCTTGTAGACAAAAGAATTGCACACCAAGTGAACGCCAAATAAAATGTGCATCATAATGCGGAATATTATTAGTACTTTATAAACTCACATGCGTTTTTTGAGAAATCGGAAGTAGCGTAAATTACTAATTCCGGTCAACGGAAATTACTCAAAATTTAACAGAAGGTAGAGAATTAGATCTTTTACTTACATGTGAAATTTCATTTATCTATCTGAAATAGTACTCAAGTTATAGGCTTTTGAAAAATTCAAAGTAGAAAAAGTACCACTTCCGGTTATCGGAAATCGCTCAAAAGTTGATACGGATCTACGATTTTGATAAAATACTTATATATGAAATTTCATCAACCTAGCTGTAACGGTACTCAAGTTATCGTGTTTACACACGGACAGACAGACAGACACACAGACATACGGACAGAATTGCAAAGCCAAGTTTTTCAGACTGGATTACGCATAAAACCTCTTAATTTTGATAAATCTGGATTGATAATTTTTGTCCGATTAAAATAAGTCCTCTATGTGATGAAGGACTGAGGTGTAATACGGTGAAAATTGTTAAAATTTCAAGTGATTTTTGTGCACGATTACAATACTTTCTCTATACTTCGTATATACGAGAAAGTAAAAATTAATAAGATGGTGATGAATAGGAGTGGTGTGAGGGGGAGGGGGGGCATCTGTGTATTATACAGGCCTGTTTTAACATACATATCACATATACATTACCTTGTGGAGGTCGATGTGTTTTGGTCCAACTACTCCCACTTCGACCTATACACACAACCCCGCCTTATATGTATACATGCTTTTATATTTTGATTGTCGTTTTAAAGATTTCAAAATAAATGCTTTATGTTTTTGTATGAAAAAAAGTGCATTTTTACATAATAAATATAGAAATCTAGTTTAATAACAGAATAAAGGATATGTAAAGAAATAAACTGGTTTTATAAGTGTATTTATCTTGAAAACAAACGATTTGAGCTAACGGAAGAGGTCGACCTGGTCGAGTCAGTTAAGCTCATGGTTGCTGACCCGAATAGTTCCGATAAGGTTCGATAGTTGTAGAAAGACACTCATCAAGTAGAGACAATTTCAAAATCAAACTGCCTTTTAGTTTGTTCTTGGTTGGACAAAGCTATGGAAGCAAATCCAAAAAGGAAAGCAGCGGTCGGCGTGGTCGAGTAGGGAAAGCTCATGGTTGCTTAACCGAAAAGTCTCAAGTTCGAACACTCTTCTAGGAGAGACAACTCCAAAATCAAATAACTGCTGCCTTGTAGTTTGTTCTGGGTTAAAAGCAAATCTAAAAAGAAAAGCATAACCAGTTGAACGTATCCTTAATTGTGTTGGAGGGAGGGGGATCCCTTCCAACACTAAAATTAAGAACGAAGAAGAAGAATGTTTTAATTTTCGTCACAGCTTTTCTCTTCTCTTCTTTGTTAACTTTTTCTCCACGCTTTCCTCGCATTTTCACGCAGGCCGTTAAAATAAACCTGTCCAAAGTGATTTTGTTTTTGCTCCCTTTCAGAATGTTTCTGAAATGAGTAAGGTAGGTGTCGTTAAATAGCTCCGAAGCACAATCAGTTGCAACTTTTTCTGGATGTTTCTTTTTGTGTTTCTTTCAAGCATCTATACACCATACCTCCCCCTGGAAAGAAATAGAATTTATATAGAAAATATATACTTTAACCGTGCCCCCCACCCCCCCCCCCCCCCCCCCCCCCGGAGAAAAAAGTCTGAAAGAAACCAGCGTTTCTTTCCCACAAACTGTTAAACCCGCTAATCTAATTACTTGTATCTCAAACTTTGCTTGTATGGCAATGCGAATTTTATCTCACTCAACAGCTCGTATCTAAAAAAATTCGTATGTAGAGTTAACATTGTACTATGAAACACGCCCTGTGGTCTACTCATTCAAATAAAAGCCCGTAACGCATCTAAACAAAACTACCAAACATTTTGTGTGTGAATAAATCGCGATAAATACAGCTCAAAATCAACATTTTAATTTCTTTTTCGACCCCTTTTGGGTCGGCGCCTGAATCGGCCATTGTCCTCAACCCGTCCCTCCCTCCACCACCTCACGCCTTCTAATTTCAAAATGTGTGATGAAAACCGCTGCGGTATAAAATGTTTCATGTTGTATTTAGTGGGCACTTTATTGGACAATAACATTATGGTGCTTAAACTCTAAAAAGCTGTTTATATTTATACCAAATGCAATATTTATTGTAACTTTTCATTGGATACTTCGCTAGATTGGACCAATCGTATACGTTTTTACAAAGCTTGATTCATACGCTTTTATAAAGATGGCAGCCTCCTTAGGGCTGCTATGCTTATGAAACAGCTGTATTTGATAAAGCAATGACCATCAAATCAAATTAGGAAAAGAAAAACTATTAAAAATGCCTAGAAAGTGTGCTGGATGTGATAAAAATGCAATATTGAAGAGACCTAAAACAGTAAGTTTGTAGATAAAAAACAGTTGTATCTTAATTTTTTAAATTTTGAATTTGTTGAATGATGATTGAAAATTGGGTAAAACCTTAGTTTAGCGTCGGTTATTATTCCGGAATCGTATAGCAGTAAAAAACAGTAAAACAATGCCAAAGTCTGTCACACACTTCCGGAATTCACCGGAAGTACTGTAAACTATACTTTATTTGGCGTCATCTTTTATTTTTATAGGCCTACAGAATGTTTAAAATTTGGATAGATTTATTTTCGTAATCATTTTTACATTTTGTAATCATTTTTACTATGTTCGTAATCTAGATTTTTTTATTTGGCCTAGCAGCTAGATATCTAGCTAGATCTAATTAATTAATGGTCGCAAATCCGCTGCAAGCCAAAAACATTAAATTATTACATTTGACTTCATTATTTATAGGCCTAATTATATTAATAGGGCCTATATATTTTTTTACATTTTTAGATCTACTAATTTAAATCTACTAGGCCCTATTATATTTATTCTTGTTTCTTTTTGTTGATTAAACTTAAAAAATTAAAACATTAATTTACTACAATCGACTTTCAATTTATTTATATTTCAATGGTCAAATAAACCATGGTTTACCGTAACTCTAGTTACCGAAACTCAACAAACATTACCCGATAATTTCCGACGCTAAACTAAGGTTTTACCGAAAATTGAATGCAACGACCATAATCTTAAAACTTAAAATTCTTCTTAAATCTAGAATCAAGAATCTATAAAATCTTTCGTTTTAGGTAGGCTACATAAAATCGCCCGTGTCTAGTAATGTGAAAAACAGGTGACTCCTTAAATTTTAAAATTATTTCACATTTAGAGGAGGATAGGGCCTGGGCTATATGATTTGAAAAAAAAATGGGTAAAACTCCATTTTAGTGTATTTTATTCCCTGCTTCACGTTCACCTCCAGTTGAGCATATTTTATAATTAACACAACCAAAACACACATAAACGTTAGGAAAACACTTATATCTAGCCTATTTATTTTTTTATGAATATGATTTTTAGTTAGAAAAGGTAAAAAAAAATACATAAAAAAGCATTAGAACTGTTCCAATTAAATATCGTGTGATCATCAGCGGGAGAAAAAAATCCTTACACTGTCGCGGGTTCACCGTGAGTTCACATAGACTTTAATTATCAGCATACATCATAGCTCGGGCAATAGCTGTTTGAAATTGTGTTGGCCTCAGTTTTGGGGTCATTGTAAGTTCATAAATGTTTATTTATAGTATAATGCCTGGGAGATACTTGTAACAATACAAACTTAACGGCCTTGCAATTGTGAGTTACGTTTACGTACTTCACCCATTGCAATGGCAATGAAAATTCTAACTGACACACAAACATAGCACATTCAATATTCTAAATTTGGATTTTTCTCAAGTTTTGACAAAAGTAAATTATCAAAATCTAAAACAAAGTCAGTCTCTGTTATTTTTTATTCATTTGTTAAAACAAAAATACAATACAAATAAATAAATTGTGTTTTCCTAATGTTTTGGTGTGTTTCGGTTATTATAATAAAATACGCTCAACTGGAGGTCAACAAGAAGCGGAGAATAAAATAAGCTGTTTTTTTAACTGTTATACCATTCCGGAATAATAACCGACGCTATACCGGGGGATTACCATAATTTTTAAATTGCAAAGTATATCCATTTTAAGTTCACAAAACACAAATTCCAAGGCCCAAACTGACATAGGGCGGGCCTGAAATATTTGACATTTAAAAAACTGGATTGGCGCTTATGTCCGGTGCCTTCATTTCTTTTAAAGAGCATCCTTTAATAGGGACATAGAGAGACACATGACATTTGATGATTGAACCTAACTAGGGGCCCTAACCAAAGTTCCACCTGTCTGTTTACTGTGTATGTTCAACCTCGATGTTATTACGCACTGAGGGTGATTAATGTACAATGTACACTCAATTCTTTCATGCAGCATGTCTGTGTGGAAATGTAGACTAACCTGCGCCCCAACAACTATGATCCCAGAAATATAGCGCCTGCTTTGTTTCGATTAAATAACTCAGTTTTAGAAAACAAGACCATGCGTCTAAAAATACACCTTAAATAAATCCTCTTAAAGTATTGGGTTAGCATTTCTTATGAAACTGCAGCAAATTGCAGGGCAAATATTTAATAAATATTGGAAAATTAATCTTGCGCAAAGACAATTTAAAGAAAGTTTTATTCGCTGCCCAGATTATTGCGTGACTACTAACTTGCAAGACTAATATTTATTTTCCCAGAGTTACTCTTGTTTTTTAAATTGAATAATTTCATTTTCAATCCCCAAATCAGTTTGGGCTTTATGGTTGGTGTTTTATCTATTAACTTAAATGGGTATACATATACTCAGAATATGTAAAGTTTGGACATAAAGCTAGGGTACATCTGATTCATGACATCAGTCTTTGTTTTCATTAACATTAATTGGTTGCTAAACCCAGCAGTACACTTTTTGTAAATGCGATCGTAGGAAATAGTCTCAGGAAAAATGTCACAAATGTGCATGGCATTAGTACAGGGGCGGAACTACAGTGCCGCCAGACCCTGCAATGCGGGGGGGGGGGGCCCAGGCCATTTTGGGGCCCACAGCCGACCATAATTGGTCCACAATCCATTGAGGTTTTACAAAGTAAAATGTACGTTTGTTGTATTGGTAGAACTACTATTCTATACTATAATAATTTTAAAAAATAATACAATAACAATAATTTCAGTTTTATGTAGTTTACTTCTTTTTGTTTAAGATAAAAAATGTTATAATAAACGTGCATAATTTGAATTGTCTCCCTTGAGTATTTTACAATAGGCTTAATTTTTCTAGTTCCGCAACTGGCACATTGCTAGTGGTTGTGGAAAAACAAACAGATCTACTACAGTAGTGATGATCTACAGTAGCTAACACAAGCTGTTTTGTTAAAGAAAAAAATATACAAATATACATGAGCTGTAGTGTGAATGATAGGTAAACTTTCAAACCATTTCCATGACTATTTCCCTTTTTAAATAGTAAAAAAAGAATGCCCTTAAGCTCCTTTTAATTGATTTGTACAAAACAAATTAATAAGCAATTTCATCTCTTAATTATTAGTTTTCTTAAATACATACTAAAGAATGACCTCATATAAAAAAGAAATGTGTTAAAACTTAATAATATAAATACAAAAAATAAATAAAAATAAACATAACACGAGAAACCATTAGACATACAAAGCATTCATATGTATATACTTTTGAGTGAAAGATGCATTACGGCTGATATAAAATGAAACGGAGATTTTAAAAACAGACTTATGCACTCACACACATGATTTGTTGTTGTATTTGTTTAAAATGAAAAAAAAAAGCAAAGAATTTTTTATTCTAAACCTGATCAGGCTCAAAATAAGTATTCTATGTTTGTATTTTGTGTTTGTTTATATATATATATATATATATATATATATATATATATATATATATATATATAGATATAGATATAGGCGGCCCAACATTTTTTCTTTGCGGGGTGGCCATTTTTTTCTAGTTCCGCCACTGCATTAGTAAATAATTTTATATTTTTTAGAAAGTGCTAATCAACATAAAATTAATTAAATGTAATTTTGACATTTTAGATATATGTCTTTAGGTTGTATTTGTATGGTAACACACATAAAAATTTTTAGTCTGAAGTATATATATAACTATGTGGCTACATTTCTTTTATAATTAATTTATTATTTTTTTTATTGAGTATTCAAACTAATATGTAACAAAATTGAGGCTGCTGTGTAAATCATCTTATATTACTATTACTTGCTAAAAACCATAATTTCTTTTACAGTTTATAAATATTGTTACTAAAAATTGCCACCCATGTTTATAAATATTGTTACTAAAAATTGCCACCCATGTTTATAAACACCCGAAATTTTACAATTCTCATCAAGTAAATCAAAATATTACTTAATACACAATGGTGACTTTTTTTCCTAACAAAAACTGACTTTTTCCCTGTGGCTTCTTTCCTTTCACCTATAAATAGGCTACAGCCTATGAAATTAATTTTTAAACTTAATTTTCCCAGGAAAAAATTATATCACTAAAATCTCGATTTTTTCCCCCTCTTTACTATGATACGATAGCATTTGTCTATCTTAAAGAGAATATAAAATTTGGGTTCTTTGAAATACAGCATTCACCCTGCAGCAATCAGTTCAGTGTTACGGTACCAAAATAGTCTTGGCACCATAATGCTTTTTATTGTATCCACATAGTTTTGTATAGTTGACCAAAATATTTAATATTACTACTGTATAGCCCTTAATTATTACAACAACTTTATTAGTATACACTATTGAATATTAGGAAAATATGTTATATTTGGATAAGAAATTTTAAAAAAAAACTAATACTCTTTGCTTTGTCTAGCTAAACCCAGCCTGATATTTGTATGGCTAAATAAAACTAAACTTCCTGTGTAGCTTAACACAATAGGTGAATTGTCTAAGTACAAGTATGTTATTCAACCTGGCTCTATACAACTTGTTAGTTGTCTGGCAAAATAAAACTAGTTGACTGGTCTAGCTCAGCACAACTTGTTTACTTATCAGAGTTTTGCATAAGTGTTACATGCATGCTATTATTTTTTACAGCACATATCATGTTTTATCCCACTGATACATATGCTCGTTTAAAAGCATGATAGCTTTACAAGTATCAAACCGATTTTAGTAACTCGATATACACTTATCTAAAAACATAAATTTGTATAGCATAACGAGTCCTTGTCATAATAATGTCAGTAATTCTAGACTTGACATGCTCTCACATAATATTGTTTTTGCTTATGGAAATACATTGCAGTGTGTAATTCAAGCAGTCGCTGCACATTTTCTGTTGTTGTATGGCAGGTTTAAGATATAGATATACTGGTGTAGGGGGGGGGACCAGAACTCATTGAAATCACAGC